AAATTTATGTTGTGCTTCCTGATAATATTGCCTAAAGGGAGCATGTATAAAGTGAAGAGAATTGGACCTAACACAGAGCCCTGTGGAACGCCGTGACTAACTTCAGTTTGTGTGGAACATTCGTCATTAACATGAACAAACTGAAATCTTTCTGATAAATAAGATTTGAACCAACTTAGCGCAGTTCCTTTAATCCCAATAACATGTTCAAGTCTCTGCAATAGGCTGGCGACCTGTCCAGGGTGTACCCCGCCTTTGCCCGCAGCTGGCTGGGATTGGCTCCAGCCCCCCGTGACCCCATTTGGGACTAAGCAGTTTAGAAAATGGATGGATGGATGTTCAAGTCTCTGCAGTAAGATGCTGTGATCAATGGTGTCAAAAGCAGCACTGAAATCTAAGAGGACACGTATGGAGACAAGTCCTTTGTCCGAGGCGGTTTCTGTACTATGATGGACTCTAAATCCTCAATCTGACGGCACAAGAATCCAACCAGCCACGTTGTAATCTGAAAGTATGAGAGAGGGTTATGGGAGGTTTATGTTCATTACTGCCCCTGTAGGAAAGACTAGCGATGTTCCACAGAGACACATGACCACCCAGTACCTCTGAGACATGTCCCTGATTGGGATGTGAGACTGGAGGGGAGCAGATGGGCTCTGCAGACAATTAAAGCTGCATCTTCTGTTTTGGTTCCTCCACTTTGTTTTTGTCATTCACCTCATGCTTAGTGCCATCTATCCTCTTTTTTTAACACCATTGCATCTACAACACCTCATTTCTTCTTCCTGCCCTCACATTTCTCCCTATCCCTCTTTTCCTCTCTTCACCCGCTCATCTCCGTTCAGTCTTCCCTCTCACTAGCCTTAGTTACCCTCCTTCCTCTCACACTTTAAAGACGCACAGTCTGTCTCTTTTCCTCTCTCCTGCGCTCCACAGCTCTCTCTCCCTCATCCTCCCTAACACCCCACCACCACCACCACCCCTCCACCCCCAGCCTTAATTGGGAGTCAGGGAGAGCAGTGGAAATCGCATTAACGCGAGCCCTGCCTGGGTGTGCCATCCATCTTCTTTTTTATTACGCCGCGCAGGGGCTGCCTGGGCGCTGCCGTTCGATTTGTCACCGGCCTCGTTCGCTGATAACAGGCATTTGTCATCGCCTTGCCTCCCTGTTAATGTTATCATCTCCTCCCTGACAGCCGCCCTCCGCCGGGGAGCGCCGGCGACAAAGCACATCCGTCAAGCGAATATTTCCACGGCTAAGGGGACCGCACACTGCAATAAGCCACATTAAAGCACTTATGAAGGGTGCAGGCCGAGTGTGCGCGAGTACGTGTCAGTGTATATGCACCGGTGCAGCACTGAAGTGTGCACTGCGCGCGCATACACATACTCGAACCCACGCGCACATGAGCGTGTTGTGCGCTTGTCAGTGCCGTAAAAGAGGCGAGGTGGGGGCCGACAGGGAGAGGAAGAGGTAATTTGTTGCAATTAATTACGCAGTGAGTGTGGCTTTGTTGTGTGGGAGAACATTTTATCTGTTGGAATGCTTCCTTCGCCAGGCTGTGATGCTATTTGTTTGATTTATAGCTTCTGCCTGCCCGAGGCGGAGTGAGCCTGCACGTGAGTGTGTTTTCACATGTGCACAATGCTGTGGCATTATCCACAGAAATATACTGTAGTCTCAGCGACAAGGAGCCCTTTGTTTCAGAGTGACGTTACATATGAACAACTACACAGTCCCTGGTTTTGCTTCTCTCTCTGGACTGAAACTCTTTTGTCCATTTGTCATTCAGCAGCAAATGAACAACTCCAAAGGTTGACCTTCCATCACCTAGCTTGCCTCAGCCTTTTCTTTTCTTTCTGTGGCAGGAAACCATGTTTGAGAATGCTGTAACGCTCAAATCTACTGCATCATACCGCACAACAATCCAGATGTGACATGTTGATGTCTCTAACGCTGGCCTGGTCTTCTCTCTTGTTCTCTCTCCTCAGTGGCATCAGGACAAGCAGGGATGTGACAACATTATCCTTTCTGCCCCAGCTGGGGGTTTGCAGGGCCCTTCTGCAGGGGCTGACAGATGGATCAGCCAGCCTAAAGGCAGTGGGAAGTGATGACAGTGAGAGGAGCAGATCTCCCCTCCTTCAACATGCTGTACAACTCCCAAATTTACCATAGTGCATCTCACATGGTATGCCAAATTTGAAACCCTGGCAGATAGCTGCAGTCAGGATGATGACACTTTTACATATTCAACGGACAGCGCAAAGCTTCTTCACACTGTGATCACACACAGTGTGAGGTCAATGATAAAAATATTAGGAGCTGGTCTCTCTTAGTACGATTTTAATTCACAGAATGTCTCGTTTAAATGCAGACAGAGCATGTCATATTCACTGAGGGAACTACAAACTAACAAGATTATTTTTATTCATTTGCTTGTCTGCCATAAGATCACATGCTTTCAGTTTCTGTTACCAGTTTCCAGTCAGTCCAAGAAAGGAAAACAACTTCCTGTGTGTACCGCCTCCTAGAGTTAATAAATCCGACTTCAGTTTGACACTTGTTTTGTTTTTTTAGTTCTTGAAATGATCGGGAAGACCTCTCCAGTGGATGCTGTGAGCCAAATCCATTTACAATATTAACATTTTTGACTGTCTCAGTCCCATGAACACTGAATGACTTCCCATAATGTATAACTACATTACTGTCCAAAAACAGGATGGACAAACACCAGCCAAATGGACTGGTAACAGCGTAGCAACCAATAGGTGTCTTCTGATTCTGATTCTTTTTTCAGTACCTGATCTACAAAGCACTAAAGCAAAATTTTTCTGCGGGCTTCTTCCCCATGTCGGACAATATTCACTTCCAGGACAACAGGGCAAACGCCACTTGCTGATGAAGACCAATCAAAAGCTCTAGATCAGCCACTAAATGAACCTTCAGGAAATATTTCTCAACTGATGTTTTTAAGATCTGTTAATAATCATTAATAATCAATCTTTTTATTACAACTTACAACTTTACACAGCCTTATTAGACAGCGGTACCTTTATTTGTTTTGTCCACAGTTAAAGTGTTTCAGACTTTCAGTGTTTCTTCTACATTAATAAAGTATGTTGGATTGCCTCTGTGTATGAAATGTGCTATATAAATAAGGCTGCCTTGCCTTGCCTAATATGCCAGTGTTGGGAATCATTATGGTTGTGGTTGTTTAAGACCCGCATTTCTGGGAATTTCTTTCATGGTGAATAAGTATTTGTGCTGTAATTGCAAGTTATATTTTCAGCTTTGATAGTTTTGGGTGAGATGCAATTGTGCCAGATAATATTTCTCTGTATTTTAATTTTCTGTGCATGGATACAACTTCCAGTTAGTGATGTCACCACAGTTAGATGAGTGTGAAGGAAACACTGGCCCCCAAAGAAACTATAGTGTTGTGAAAGCTCAGAAGAGCCGCTTTATATTTAATGGTACAGTGGGGTAAAGCAGGATTATAGATTACAGTATATGACTATGCTCTTGCTCTCATTTGTGGAAGCTTGCTTGCAATTATGACACCCAGGGAACAAAGCAGTTTACGGTTCAGTACATTAGTATAAAAGAAAAATGAGTTTCCAGTCACTCCACCATAGATTATAAGAGGTGGTCTTGTACAGCTCTTTAAGAAGTTCTATATCATTTGCATATATTTAAACAGGACATGACTACCACAGTAGCCACAATATCCAGCTCTTATGAGACAAAATGTCAAACGGAACAAAGGAAGAAATGAAAGACAACGCAAACACAAGCTCAGGTTCTTTGTCAAGACGTTCACCTTGAGCTGAACAGTGTAAACATAAAGTAATATTGTATTATCCACACGACTCTCGACCTTTAACCACTGTGTGAAACATCAGAGAAATGGTTTTCATACTTTCTGCCACTATGCTGATGGAAGCACTGCCTCAGAGGTGTTATTGCTATGATACGATTAGCTCTGTATCGAGCAACAAAATGAAGGCATTCAAAACTGAATTAAAAACTGTTCCAAAGAAGTAATGCAGAGATTAAAACTGAGAAACTAACTTAGCTCCTGTAAAAATGCTCTATGATGCAAAATAATGGGTTGTCATGTGACTTGATTTGAAACATGTGACTTCTATATCACATAACATATAGGACCTACACTTTGACTAAAAATTAACTGCTAAAGCAGGAATTACTGTGCATGTAAAAAAGTGACAACAGTTGGACCAGGCAAGTCCAATTTCATGGAGTGTGAATGAATGCAGTGGTCTTTGTAGTTTTCACATGAAGCAACAGATTTCTGTGGTTCCACCTCACACACCTACTGTAGTTTCTTTAGTCAAAAGAAACCATCATTAACATGTGGGCCCACCTCCTCTTGGCTTCTTATTTTTCCTCATGGTGGCCAAGGGTTCCATAGCCATTCATCACAGCCAATTTTAGCTCCTCTCGAAGGATGGTGTTCTTGGTGGCGAGCATCTGGCTGATCTCCATAAAGGTTTTGTTTTTGGTCTCAGGAAGGATGACGATGGTGTAGACGGCCACTCCCAAGCAGATTGTGCAGAAGATCAGGTAACAATAAGGACCAGCAGCCATCTGTGGTGGGAGGGCACTTGCTGTAACTTTGACTTATTTAAATAGTGAAAGCAATGAAAGCAAAATGAGACAAATTTGGTCACATAATGTCATAGATCACTGACACTCTCCATCTCAAAACACCTGTTGTTAACTGCTAGGAGCCATAAAATTTGGGCTAAAATAGGATCCATCAATAGTGACATGAAAACTAACAGAATCTAATAAAATTAACATTAATTTGAGCCTAAATATGATCAATTTTCATATGGCTGATATTAATGGGTTAGTTAGATTAAAAGCCAGGGGCTCAGAAATGTTAGGTTAATTGAATTTTTTTTTTTTTTTTTTTTTTTTGGCCATTAGGTGAAGCTGTAAACAGCAGTGACATTTTATCACCTTAAATTTGTTATGGCTGACATGTTACTAAACAGTTGCCTGTTTACACATCCAGCAGAAATGAAGCAACATTAATTAGTATTAATGTTGGGGTGACTGTGGTTCAGTGGGTAGAGCAGTCGTCTCCCAACCGGAGGGTCAGAGGTTCGCCGCAAAACCAAAACAAGCTGAAAGATGCTAAAATGCTCTGCAAATCTGAGGGGAATTGCAGAGTTGGGTAAATATTATTAGCATTACAGTAAAGGCAAGGTGAAACTGCTAGGTCTAGCTCCAACTGAAAACTAAGGGCTGTTTCAGACTCTGAGTAAACTACATGAACACAGCTTTGAAGGGTCACACAAGTTTATTTATGTACATATAAGCAGTGGCTGCCCTGCATCTTGGCAGATGCAGTGCACTGCACACTGACCTGTGGCCTTAATCAATTCACATGATATACTGTATCTGTTGCCAAAGTTGGATGCATCATTTTGCCTCTGCTACATTGTAGCTGGTAAAAGAAAAACAAGGCATATTTTGGCATGTCATAAAGATGCTGACAAACATCATAAATAGTTCTTCTGTGACAAAGACTTCAGAGTAGAGTGCGAGTAGAGTATTTGCATTAGCACCACTATTGGAAACAGGTGAAATAACACTCACACGTGTGTCATGTTACAAATTTTCGGATGACACATTTTGCTATGCAAGTACACACCAAACCCTACTTATGTATCTGGAAGCATTCATAGCTGTGAAGCTTGCATAGAGTCTGACAGAGCTCTAAGGCTTCTGGCAGCTCTAACGCTGTGCTTTTACATATTTTCTGTAAAACAGAGAGAATACTGATGACAGAATCACATGATCACATGGCCGGAACTCACGCAGAGTTCCAAAGTCACAGGACAGACAGATCATTGTCCTTTGAGTCTGTTCACCTGGAACAACACTGAAGACAATGAGAGACAGCAAGGTCACGAATTTAATTGGTAATTTTATTGGTATTTGGGGAGTCTCCTCTACTCAAACCAAACCAGACAGCCCTTATCATTACAACCCTGACACTGCAAATAGAGCCACAACTGATCCTTGATGAAAGGTCAAGATGAACTCAAATTCCTCAGTGGCAAATAGGATAAAGATTCAAATAAATGTCATATGGCAAAGGTCATTCACCTACACTTCAAAATGACTTCTGAGAAAAACAATGTGAAACGCACTCTTAGTGGATGTAAGCAGGACGTACCTCTAGGAATGGAAAGATGAAGCCGATGGCGAAGTTGAACAACCAGTTGAGACAACCACCCACAGTGTAAGCAGCTGGTCTGTGCGACTGCTTAAACAACTCTGCAGTAATCAGGAAAGGGACACCAGCTACACAGCAGAGACAAAACATATCTGTATCACTTCATAAGACATGTTCTAGTAACATTCTGTATTCATCTATTGTTTTGATCTACCTATAAACCTGTCATAATATAAATCACATTCGGTTTCTCGATGCAGTTGTATGAACCCACTTTGTGTTGTGAAATTAACATCAGCATCTTACTTCATTGATGAGTTGATCAATATTCCCACTACTCTTTGGCAGTCATTCAATGTAAATAGAACATGATACACTCTCCTCAAGTCACAGTGCTATTATATTACATTTTGTTTCTATATGTACTCCATTCTGTGTTCATTATTACTTAGTGATCGTAGGCTGACCAGACAGGCAGATGTTTGTCAAGTCGGCAAAACTCCAACTCCGAACCAGAAGAAAGGGAATAGCTTAGCTGAGACTTGTGCAATTCATTAGTTTGATACGAAGGATCTATGAGAAGTTGTCTTAGCTTTAAACACATAATTCTTCATTGTTAGAAGTGAAAGCTATGAAGGAGAAAAATGCATTAGTAAATGATGAGCTTTCCAAACGATGTCCTCATTATCTGTGCATGATAATTGCATAGAGAAAGGTTTAATATCATCAAATCAATAACTAGGCCATTTGTCAACATCTGTGGTATGTATGGGGGGCGTCATTGTGCATGCAAGGTTTCATCTCAAGGAAACCGTATTCATCATGGCTATCTTATGAACAATGAGCCATTAAAAGTCTAATTGCAGCAACAGAAATCCTCGTACACGCGCCGAGGTATGGATTTTGCCAGCTTGACAGATGACGTTATGTAAACCAGATTTGTCCTAATTCATCATCCTCACAGGTCCACTCATCGTAGTGCCCAGCATTGTAAACTATCGCCTCTTAATTCACTCCACTCAACTCATCCAGTGTACAAACGGCGGTGGGAATGGATGTAGTGTGGCAGTTATGATTTTCTAATCTACAAGACTAATGAAATACTATATCTCTTCACAGTCAGAGGAGGAGAAGGGAGGGAGGGATGTTGGCTTTTGGATTTTAGATGTGGTGCCATTGTTCAGGCATCCAGCAGGGAGCAGTGTTGCCTTACACACAGGGCTGCCAAAATCCATCGTAGTAGTGTGTGTACACTGAATTGAATTTAAGTGTTTCAAAGAGTTTACATTTTGGATGCAGAGAGGGTAGATGGACTCCCAAGATTTACCTGGGCCTATGCAGAAGCCAGCAATAATCCCGACAATACAGCCCATGCTGATGTAGTGCATGAAAGACAGCTGTGCCTGTGATTGGTCAAACACAAGTCAGGAGTCTGAAGTCACGAGTTGTAAGCACTGGTAAACAATTTGCACAGCTTGTCATTATTTTTCAGTTTACTGTATTTAAAAATTTTGATCATATGAAACATATTAGCAGCATGATTAACACCATGTGGAGCTGCTGACATTTACTTCATAATTACTCTATTGTTTTTGTGTGTGCTGTTATTTATAAGCCAATAATGAATTTCCAGACTTCACTCAGTTGGTTATAGTTTACTAAAGAGAACTATTTTTATAAGAATGGTAAATGTTTGCTATTTTACCATTAGATGCTATAGTCTTATAGATGTTTTCATGCAAAAAGAAAAGACAAAAAAAAATGTCTGTTTGCAAGCTGATGTAATATATCCCTACAGCAGCAGGACTTCACCTGTAAGAGCATGGATGCTGTGATCCCAGCACAGCAGAGTCCCATGAAGAGGTAGCCGCCAATCATTAGAGATCTTCTGCCCAGACGCTCAATGGTGAAACACTACAAGATGGACAGAGGCAGAATCTGTTGTGATTGGCTGGCTGCACGAGACATCATCAAGAAAAAAATAACGCTCGTGTTTTTATCCTCATAAATCTTCAGCCTGTTTAGTGTTTACTGGTGTACCACAGACATGGAGTACTGCGTGTATTCCATGTTCATCAAAAATTAACCTTTTGGATAAATATGGCACATTAACATTACATTCATATCAATCAATATGTTCTGTCCCTGAGAAATTAATAAAGCAATAGTAACAACAGTCTTTAAATAAAGTAAAAATTCTAGATTATTGTACATTTCATGTACATATTTGTTTAATTTTATAGTGACTAGTACAGAGCACAGTGCTAGAGTCTTAATAAGCTAGGCTAGTTTGCAACGACCTTCCCTAGATGTGCCTCTATACAAATATACAACACAATTAAAATACATGTACAATAAAAACACAGTGATACAGTAAAAGTTTGATTATTTGCGACTACAAGTGATCCGTCTTAAAAACATTTCAACATGGGTTTAAAATAATCCCAGTCAGAATTTCAGTTCTGTGGGTAAAGAGTTCAATCTCCATACAGAGAAACACATCTGTTTGGACTGAGACCAAACTATTTGACATGGAACATACATTCATTCTCAGTCTTACACAGCAGAACTGAAACTAACAATTATCTTATATTAATCTGCCTTATTCAATAGATTGTAAAAATGGTCCTTTCCAACAAGAAACCATCAGAGTGAAGCCACATTTTCACATAGCTTTTGTCTTATTTTGTACAAAAGCCAAAAGCTATTTGTTCTACAATCCATAACAGATTTTAATCCTTTGCATTTTTAATTGATTGATGACTGAAACCATTAATTTAGTGATTAGTCAGCAATATTTTTATTTTATTAAATATATAATAATAAAAGCATAAATAAAATAAATGTAAACTAGCACCACTTAATAGAGATATAAGAATCTCATCATAATGTGTTTCATGTGTGGTCATGTCAACTCACCCCCAGTGTCCCAAAGATGATCTCAACGACACCAGTTCCCACTGTTGTGTACTGTACATAAGGCTCTGGGATTCCTGCGTTTTTAAATATGTCATTTGTGTAGTACCAGATCTGAAAGTGACAGTGACCTGAGGTTTATTGATATGATTAATATGTTGGACCACAGATAGTGACATCTTACTTTAGTAATAAGTACACTCGCTGACTGAATGGACAGACACTTCCCCTAACCATCGCAACCAAATGGCTAACCCTTACCCTGACTCTAATCCAACTGTAAACTTAAAACTTAAGTTTAAAACTTAAAAACAATCTTAAAACCAAGGTTTAACACTCCAAAAGTTATGAGGACTGGCTAAAAGGATAGCATCAAAAAAAAAAAATCTGGTCCACATGATATAGACATATAAATAGACATGTATATTCATACACACATCTTTGTGGTTTTCACTTACAGGGTCTATACACAGACTTATATTCATTTCCAGGAGACTTACCCTAACCCTAACCAGACCTGCCTACCACCTAACCAAAGTCGATAGTTGCTGTAACATTACATCCCATCATTTTCATAAAATCTAACAAATTAGTTGTAGGGTCCAGCCTCTGGTCCCACCAAGGCAGTGTGCTCCAAGGGTTCCATCCACAGAGTATAGCATCTATAAAATAGCACCACCACCCCCAAACATACACACTTTGTAACTTTTTATTTAATCTCAACATTTAATCCAAGTTTCCGTATCACCTCATGGACACAGTTTTTAATCAATAAAATAATAAACAACATAAGACAGCAAAGAAACAATAATAAACTATTTTTCAGTATTATAGCCTACTTTTTTAGACATAGCACATGAATGATAATTATCTATCCATAAAATTATCCATTTTTAGTCATGTTTTTGCTGTAATCTTCTCCATTATAACCATCTCTTTAACCGTTTCTTTCCAGTGTTTTATGTTAGGGGCTTGTGGATTCAGCTAGAACATTGTACTTTTATTTTTTGCTATTAAAAAATCTCTTATTAAATAAAGAGCATTTTTCATTATCTGGTTTCCTAAAGGGGTCCCTAAGACAGCTAATTTTGGATGAAGGTTTAAGGTTATATCCAAAATAGTTTCAGGGTTCTTCTTGAACATCCAACCAAAACCCTTGTAGCGTAATACATGCCCATAATACTGTATGTGTCTGAGGTCTCCCCACTGGCTACAACCCCCTCCAACATAATCAGCAGTATTTTCCATATTTAGCCATTATAAGAACATTCTAAAGATCTTCCAGTTAGACTCCCTTCAGTTTGCACTATGTTAGTTGATGGCCAAATATGAATGCTTCTTCAATTCCACCTTCCCACCTTTTCAAATCTTTATATAAACCATACTGCAGTGCCCTGTAGACTTTTGAAACAACTCCCTTTTTAAACTTAGACTAAGATAGTTGCCTGGCCTAACCTCTCTTCTGAATGGGAAGAAATCAGATTAACAACCATTCACTCTGATAATCTTTACCCACTCGGTGACCATAGGGTGGAACACAAAGACTGAAAGCTCCACACTACAGACATTTTTATATTTATATTTGCACATATAAATAAACAACATATAGTCTAACAAGTTTTCTTAAAAAATGTTCAGCAAATCTCTGTAATATGTCTCGACATTTGCCCTTCATTGTGCATTCAAGGCTTTATGAATATTCAAATATATGCACCCCACCACCACTGCCGCCGCCGCCGCCACCTCCCTGACATAGACTGGTGAACTCACTGTATCAGGATGAGATTCAGGAGTGAAAACTGAAGAGATGCAACAGTTTCTGCTTGAGCCTCATTCACCCGTTACATAGCAATATTTTATAAAAGAGATATAAGCTGAATGTGCAAATGTATTTCCAGTCCGGCTGAGAGTTTGACAGTATGTGTTTATTTTCTCAGTTGATCCAACAGGTCATCTATCTGGGAGACTGGATTATTAGAAGCAGGTTGTTTGCATACAGCTGGACTACTAATACTGCAATGTTACTGAGCCAATCGTAGTGATTTAATTCCCTGTTAATACTTCAGCGTGTCTACTACCATCCCATAACATTTGATAGTATATCAGTATCATTTTATTTTTTCCACATGAGCCGTAACGTTATCTAATGAAGTTACCAGAGAACCGAGAGCTTTTATTCATTTGTGCTCTTGAGGTAATGTTTATAGTCCTTATATTGTTTAGTCCCTGTCCAAATAGAATAAACCCTGTTTGATCAGGTTTGCAACCTGTAGTCTTTGTGCTAGGGTACAAGTCAATCTTTTCATATCATCACCTAGTAAACTCACTGGCCTACACCCCTCACATTCAGTTGGCTCTTTGGCTTCTTTATGCAGGGGAGAGGTAATATCACCAGACAATGTTTGCGGAGGATCTCCTTTGGATTGTGCATAATTCAAAACTTTTACTAATATTGATGTGATCTCTTCTGCAAACAATTTACAAAACTTCACACAGATCTCTCTCTCTCTCTCACACACACACACACTTTGAAAATGAAAGTTTGTCTCTTTCTTTCTTAAGGAGCCAAAAAGTCACTCTGCTTTTTTGGAGCTTCCACGTGATTCATCATAGTGATCATTATCATCAGGCCAACCATCACTCATGCATTTGAGATACAGCGTTTCATCAATATGGACTCCTGACAAGTGCTCCCCTTGAAATTAATTTGTGTATTCTCATTAATCACACTTTGCTGATGCAACATCCATCATTGATGAGGTGTGGACAAGATCGTGATCTGTACAGTTAAATGCTGTCTTGTTGATTTAGTAACCATACGTAGAGCATATCATCAGCATTGGAGCACTGATGTATGCACACACACCTAAATAACAGAAAACATGCACAAACAGTTTGTATATTGTTTTGAACGCATGAATTATGTATATACAGTCCTGATGGGTTATAGTTTTTCAGACCAAACTGAAATCCGGTATACAATAAAAATCTTGTGTTATTTCTTGCAGAATAAACATTTTACATTTATGCACACAGTCTTTTCTAAGTGCAAAAACACCAGAGGCAATTCAACTGATAAAACACAGACGATTCTATGGACTAAGAATAATTACTTTATTTTTCAGTAGTCTTCTTCGTCCAGTCATTCAGAGTCATACTCTCAGGGCCCTGTTTTGAAGATCCATAGCGTCTGATTAAGATGCACTGGCGCAAGTGGTGTTTGGGTGTGTCCATGTTCATTTCAGTAATTTGTTGATGAAAAAAACAGTTCAAGCAACCGTGCAAGTAGCAAAGGGGCTCTACTTGATCTACTCATTAAAGCAGGGGTGTGTTTTGGGCGTAACATGCAATTAGTTGAACGTTTGGCGGATTGCTAGCATACTGGCAGACTTGCCGGGTCAGTAAGATTTTCCACTGAGGAAATGTCTCTGCCTGTGTGCGAGGTGAAGATGCAGCATCAAAATGGTATTTATTATACATACCTATATATTGATGTGCACAACACCCAGTGAACACGTCGTCTTTTTATTTTTTTAAAGCCTTGCATGTCCTGTGCCGTGCGTTCCAGGGTTTAACAAGCACAAACCTGCATTTTGCTGATCAGTGGCACAGTCACTTTGTGCACCCTCAAATTACCAACGTGTCCAAAATTTACCTGGACACACCCCATCTTCAACCAGACACACCTGCTGGCGCGAAGTCAGACTGCTGCTTGATAAAAAGGCAACATGATGTGCAAGTCATAGAAACAGTATTTGGACAGGTAAAAAATTAGGAAACACAGATGTGCTATCTGCTCCGCATGCCTAAATCTTGAACACAGAGCAGCCCTTGCACATTTTCCTCTGACACTTTCTCCAGCTCTTCCAGGCCAAACTCAAGTTGCTCCTCAACCATCCAAATGATATAGTCCTTCTTATGCATTTACCAGTTACACAGCCAGAGCGAGGCACCTTAAGGACACACTGCACCTGTCTGAAGAGACTAATCTGAAGGCTCTTAATTCAAAGAATCAGCAAGGTCTCCAAGGTCTTCCCAGATCATTCAACTCTTCACAACCAGGAGGTTTGGTTTGTGGTTGCATGTTTTACTGTACAGTAGAAAAGATTAGTTATTCCATTTAAGCCTCAACCTTGAAATTCTATGCTACCTGGCAACCATTTCCAAACCTTTTGGAAAATATCAAAACTGAGAAATCAAAATCAGATTTATTTTTTGGAGAAAGCATCTTGTGACATGGCTATTTCTCAGTATGCAAGACACAGGGTTCATATTAAATAAAGTAATTCATTCAAGGTTATAAGATGCATGCCTCCACTTTAAGCTCTCCTGAATTTTAATTGTGTGCTTTGTGTCACTGAGCTTGGACATGTGGGCTCTTCTGCATGTCTGAGGTCCTCCAGTGTTCCTGTGGGACTCAGCAGGGAACAGTCCCGCTGGGAAATGGTGCCACCATGCGAGCCAGCACACCTAGAGTCTCCATTCAGATTCACATGAAGCAATGAGTGCAAGAATATGTTTGACTTTGTGTATGAATGGGTGGACCTTCTTATGTGGGGGAACACAGAGAGCACCAGGAGATAATGAGGCGTGGTCATGTTGCCCCCTGCTTAGTTGCTCAGTGGTTGAATGCACGACTGTGATATACAGACAGGGGGAGGTGCAGATGGGAGGAGCACAGCGGGGTACTGTAGCAATATGAGCTCTCAGTCTCATATAATAACTGCACAGACTTTGCACAGCCACAATGTGAGCACACACACAAGGACAAAAAAGACACAGTCTATGTCTACTCACCACATCAATGCCAGACAGCTGCATGCCGATGTTGGCCACCACAACAGTGATGACCTGCCAGCGGACACAGCGGTCCATGAGCAGGCCACAGACAGAGACGGTCTGAATGGAGGACAGAGAACATTTTTCCTCCTCCATCTCCTCAACTTCTGCCTGGATATTTCCTTTAGTGCGGTAGCAGTTTAGGGCTAAGGAACAGAAAGAACAGCTTTTAAGATATAGTAATACAAGTATATTATTCCTGTGATAGTTTGATCCTCATAATACGATTCACTGACCATGAAAACCTACCCTTAGCATTTGGAATAACACTGTTATTGTTATTAGTTTGAAAGTTATTCAAGAAGAACTATATTTCAGTAATGGAGGTTTTCTTCAAGGTGCAGCTCAGTAACTTTTATTGATACATCTGCTGACAGCCTTATAAATCAGCAGCATTTCAGCTAGGATTTGATCTTACTTTCAAATTTGTTGTCTCACAGTAGCAAGTTTTCTGCAAGCCCTATAAATTTGAACAATCTGGATCAGCAGACCCAGAATATTACTTGGATCCAAATCATGCTTGGGTGAGTGGTACAGTAGATCTTTTTGGGATCCTATCATGCCATTTGTGTTCAAGCATTCTAGGCATTGTGTATGAAGAGGAAGAATTGGGTTTCTAACCTTTGATGGTGGCATCCACATTTCCCTTCTCTATGAAGAGGTATCGAGGACTCTCTGGAAACCATGGCAACAGCATCAGCTGAACCATGGTAGGACACACCACAAGGGACAGGAGCAGAGGCCAGTACTCTTCCTGTGTAGAAAAAAGAAACAGCTTAATAACACCTTGTTAAAAATTACAATCAGCAGCTCTCTCTCTATTCCACGTATCATAATATGTACATACTGTAAAACAGGATGCAAAAGCATCTCTGGACGAAGTAAACCACAGAAAATAGCTAGGTGATAGGAGGTTGTCTGTGTAACTGCTCTTCACAGTGGATAGTGCTCCTTCCTCTTTATGAAATATTGTGTAGGGGAGCAGATGGAAAGAGCAATATTTTATCAAGAGATACCGCATATAGAAAAAAAACATGAATGAGAGGAGAGGAAGCAAGAGCCACTAAAGAAGTATCATCTAGTTATAGCATGAACAAGCAATATGTAAAGCATTAGAAATAGACATCAGATTTATTCTGTTCTGGCTGTTTAAGTCTTTGTCAGTGTTTAGTTTGCAGGCCCTTGTGCTGCTGGTCATTTTTGGATCACAGACTCTCAGCAACATCAGGACTAGGCTGAATTTAGAACTTACTACCTGAGAGTTATAACATCTATGTCTTTCGGTGAAAAGACTATATGACAGTCGACAAGTGCAGAACACCATGGTACCTTTCCCAGCAGCTCAGGGAGCCCCAAGGCCTGAGCGATGAAGACGCCAAGACAAATGTGGATGGTGGGAACAAGGCCTAGGAAGCCTCTCAGGTTCTTGGGCGCGATCTCACTGAGGTACATGGGCACCACACTGAGAGAGATCCCTGTTGAAAACAGAGTGAATACGACAATTTAAATGCATGCTGAATTTTCATGATAGGATTTCTCTTTTGAATGTTTAGGATACTTTTTAGGTTCCTGAAGAAATCATATATTGTGTTCATATCATTAGATACTGTATTTAGTGTCTATTATTTCTTAATGTCAACTATTAAATTTCTATGCAAAAAAAAAACTCCAGGATTTTAACATTCTGTCCCTGAAATGCTGTATATTATAAATATACAATAAGAATATTATTAATCAACATAACCAAAGATTATAGCTAATTTTCATCATTTGCAAACTTTATTACAAATGAAACAACTACAAGTCAACAAAGGTCACATGAAACTGCTCTGCATGGGCTAAAACCCACAGCTACTTATCTGTCTGTGTAATATGCGGTTGTAGCTTTGCATCTAATCTGCAAAAATGTAACTGTCAGCACTTAAATTGCGTCTCATTTCTGTTTTATGTCAAGTACAATAGTGACACCGCAGGCCTCCCTGAGTACACTCCCATGATGAAGCGTCCAACGATAACCATCGCAGGCATCCTGCACAGCCTGCTGAAGCCCATAAGGGTTCCTCCTATGAACACCAGCACAGTGGATCTCACCAGTGTTCCTTTCCTGTTTGGACACATAGATCACTCTTTACTTAACCTTCTCAATAAATACGATGCACTGCCAGAAGAACAGGCTGATGGCATTTTACAAATATAAGCATGCATTTAGCATGAATTACACAGAGAAGAATCATCCATACACACTCTAACCTCCCATATTTGGTAACAAGTACGCCCACCAGCAGCGCTCCCATCATCCCACCAATCGCAAAGATGGACACAGTGAGGGAGTACAGAGCCGTGAGGAACTGCTCATCTGGAGTCCAACCGTAGCTTTCTACAATCGTCTCATTGTAGAAGTCTTTGATGTACTGATGGAAAAACAACAAAAAAAAGTATTTAACTTTAATTTTAACAATGTCCAGCATGGGATTAGATAAATAGATTTGGGGACTGAACAGTAAGGCAGAGGACACAGCTTTTAAAGTTTAAAAAAAGATGGGATTTTTTATTCACCCAAAAATAAGTAAAGAAAAAAAAAATACAAACAATATCAATATCAAATAAACTGGGCCCTAAAAGAAGTCAACAAAAGATAAAGAAACTCAAAATACAGCAAACTGAATTGCACAGTACCTCAAACAAAAACCAAATGACACAAATGGGGAGACATACTGTATATACTGGCTGGCCAAACCAATAACACACACAGGGAACAGACACCAGGGAACAGAAAGAACATTACCTAGCTAATTCACTGCTGCTGGTGGTTTAGGCCCTGACATGTTGAAGGCCAGGGCTGAGGCCTTCATGGTTCCGATATACAGATTATGTAGAATTACGAGATATCCTCTCCTTTTCCCAAATATCCTACTTCATTTTTCCAATCAATCCAATTATGTTTTTGCACAAGACAAAACCACACACACTAAGTCTGAGATCCAGGTAACATAAGAACATGATATTGCAAAAAGAAAGAAACTGAACAAGATTTAACTCATATACCCCATCATTCAGACCTCAAGCATTAAAACTGTGGCCATAAAATTTTACATCACCTCATTAAGTATTTCCCACAGTTCAACACATCCACATGCCAGCATAGTCTTGCCATTTCTACAGGGCACTGAGGGATGAAGAGATGCTTCAATCCGAGTGTGAGGTAGCCATCTTCCTGCACCTTATTCATGTGACTTTTTTTAAAAGAGGAAGTTCATCGAGCCCCCACAAAGTCAAATCTAATGTGATAGGAAAGGAATCATAAACTGCATGCTTGATAAGAATTCGAAAACTGAAAACTGAAAAGCACATTGTAGTACTGCTGCTCAATACAAACTCACTCCTCTTTAACTACAGCTATCTGGTTACGATAAACATATAAAAAGGACAGCAAGAAGTTTAGCTCTGAAAATCTAAGTTGATTACTGGGATACATGGAGTCAGGTCTTTAGTTCTGCAGATATACTATGAAAAACTCCTCAGTGAACCTTTGCCTGCCTTTTAATTTTGTTAGCTAATGTCATGACAGCAGTGAATCCTACAAAGGCACCCAAGTCACATGGATGAGGGTTAAAGGTTTGAACTAACCATATTAGTAGTAATTTGCAGTATTTGCAACACTAACCAGTTTTTACATGGAGTTAGCAAACGCTACATGGTTCACAAATTTTCACAATGGATAAAGCTGCATATCTGGGAGAGACCTGCATGATGAATGTTTGGCAGGACGTGAAACGGTCAAGATTCTTGTGCAAGCTGCTGTTTCTTGTCTGAAGCCTCCATGGTGCTGACATACTTTTAGTAAAGGAAAAGACATTGTGGGAAATAAACTGATTTTCTTTCTTGCTGATAGTATGATGAGAAGATTGATATCACTCTCACATCTATGCACTAATCATAGAGCTAGAGCTGGAAGGTGGTTAACTTAGCAACTGGAAGCAGGGGAGAGCATTTCCCATGAAACCACAAACTGTCATTTTTATATTTTTGTTTGTGTACAGCTTAAACAAATGGAGTACCATATACTAATTAGTCATCTTTAGAGGTGTCAGTAGCTGTATTTTTTAAACTTTGGACGGTACCAGGCTAGCTGTTTCCCCCTTGCATCTAGTCTTCCGGCTAAACTACATGGAGATAATGTAATTATCTGAAGTTCAGGAACAGGACCTGAACTACACTTCTTCTTTCATTTTCACACTATTTAAACCCACTGAAACTACCATACTTCCATTTCTTATTAACACAAACCTGTGCGGGAGAATTGACGACTGCCAAATTGTAGCCAAAGAGCAATGAGCTGCCGAACGAGGCCAGGAAAGTTACTGCCAGCAGTGACACTGTGAGATGCTGAGGAAATGTTAGAGAGAGAAACAACAAAGAAAGGTTCAGAGGTCTGAAAGCAACATTTAGACCAATGCAAGAAAAATCCCTGAGGTTAGATTTAATGTGAGATCACAGGAGGTAATTCAGAACCAACGTTAAAATGTACAGTTTTGTAACCTAGTCAGTGGATTTGTCTTATACAGAACACTTTAAACCGAACAGTTCAACAGAGAAGTGCTTTTATTGACTAGTTTAATGCTCAAAAGCTAAATTACGTGCCCTTTATCAGACTGTTTTATAAGCTATTAAAGACATCAGCTCATAATGTATGAGATATAGGCTGGACAGGAGTCTGTGATCTTTGGACTTTGCAGCAGATGGAGCAGCTTGCAACTGAATCAGAAGTGACAGAAACTTGGACAGATCCGCCTAGCCCGCTCTGGATGAAGCAGTTGGAATAAGATGAAAAGATCTCAGGTAGTTTAGAGCCACTATCAAATACAGATTTGCTGTTTAGGCCCAAAGTGAGCTCGTGTACAGTTTGAAAGAAGAGAAGTTTTCTCATGAGGCCACTTGGAGTTACGTACAAATGGTAAATACATAAGCTACTTCTGTTCAGTGGCTGAGAGAAACCAAGTAGGTGCATGCAAATTCTGTACTTAAGTACAATTTTGAGGTATCTGTACTTTGAGTATCTGTATTTTCCGTCACTTCATATTTTGACTTCTCTACATTTTAGAACCAGAAATTGTACTTACTAGTTACCTTTCAGAATCAGATCAATTAAACACAATACTGTACAATCAGACTTTATTGATCCTCAATTATAATCTTTAATGTGAAATGTGCCATTCTGCATAATGAGAACTTATACTTTTTTTTACCTAAAGTATATTGTGATGCTAATACTTCTGTACTTTTACTTAAGTCACATTTTCAATGCATGACTTTTACTTGTAACAGGGTATTGTTACTGTGGTATTGCTACTATTAATTAAGTAAAGAATCTGAGCACTTCCTCCACCACTGTTTCGGTTGACCGCCTAAACATCCAAAGTCACATGAGCCCCGCTCTGTCTTCAAAGGGCCAAGGGCAGTCTACTGAATGTTCATGAAGACTGGCCTGGAGCTACCTTCTCAGCTGCCGTCCTAAATTCCAGCACAGTGATCTTAGCTGACCTCCACGGTAGAAGGTCAGTGGGATTATCATACGTTCTTGTATACCCACAACTTTGGTTCAAGCATCCAGGAGACTGGTAGCAGCACATCACACAGTGACCCCACCGGTAACAAGGTCTTGTTATTTTTATGAAAGGTTTACAAAACCCGAGATGATTGTATCTTAATATATTTTTTTTCAAATGAATCCACTGAACACATAAGATACTGGGGTGTTAATGAGTCAGAGCAGACAGAGCAGAGGGCTTCTGCTCTGTCTGAACAATAACAGTACAGACAGCTTTAATAACTTAATTTTGCCTGTAGCAGCCTGATGGAGAGAGTTAAATGACAACACATGAAAACAGCTCATGGCAGACAATGCTGGTCGGTCAGCATTCATCGATCATCTGTCAGATGTGCAGCTCTTCATATGTTAGCCTACATCATTTGGGTCAGAGCTCCAGGTGTTTAATCTTTTACCATAGCTGTTTTGCTTTTAATATTTTCTTTGGTCTGGTCTGATTTAGGCTGTGAGCATCTGGCCATCCTGACTCAAGCTATAGTGAAAGGTCACACAGGAGATGTTTCAATGTCAAAACACCCCCAGGTGTGATGGAAATAACTGCCTATAACATGCTGTAAAACCAGTTCTTGATTAGCATGTAAGGTGCAGCCAGACTCAGGTGCAAGTTGCCCCAATACCCAGTACTGTGCTTATGCACAGCACCTGAAAATGGGTGTGCCACAGGGTTATAAGTAGATAACTTCAGCTGCTTAATTCTTGTCACTCATTTGCTGACTTTATTCTGTGTTCAGTGACCTTTTGATCAAGATTCCTGTGCTAATGCTATTGTCTGGTAAATAAAATACACAAGGACAACTAAGATGCCTTCATCTCTTTTTTTCCCCACAACACTAGGCAGCATCTGTGATCCTGAGCCATATTTGGATGTTTTCAGATGTCTCTGACAGTACTGAAGACAGGTGTGAGGTCAGAGCAGGAGGATCTTACAAGATTATCTAGGAAATGTGACTAAGAAGTGTTCACTGTATAATATCAAATCCTACTTTGTTCAACTGAGCCGGTAGAAAACAAGAAAATAAAAAAAGTTGATCTCCCCATTTCAATTATAAGTTTTAACAGAGCACTCACCGCGCAGATGTTTGCGTCGTTTCTCGGTAACAGTTCTCCCTCCATTTAAGTCATGAATAATTATCCCTGTGTGTGATCTGCTCATTCGAGATGAGAAACAGCTCATCTGCACAACTTTTCAAAACGCTTCATCCTGAACCCCCATTTGTAGTTCCCTCCCATGTCCGGGAGGACGCATGTGGCTTGATGAACAGAATTTCCAATCACCGGAGCGCATTGTGGAACTGGCCCGCCCCAGCCGTGAATTGTTGGCTCCGCTCCATAAGCGATCACATGAGCCAAGTGGTTCATCCTGCACTTCAAAATGTACTTATACAGTTCTTACTGCACATCCTGTGACTGACTTTTGCCAGAGGCATTTATAAGATTAGCAAACATCAGGGGCTTAGCCTAGACCCAGGGGCATGTTCAGGTTTACATTTTCCAAGAAGAGGAGGTGGATAACCTCAACACTGAACAGTACAGTACACTAACAGTCAAAAGTTTACACACTTTCCCACTGCAATGAGAAAAAAGTGCAAAAGTATGTCCAGACTTTTAACTGTTAGTGCCATTTCTGCGCATTGTTTGAAAATTTTAAAATAAAATTGTATACGAGGGTAACTATTTCTCATCAACTACAACAAAGTGCCTTTATTTTACCAAGGTAAGTGGACATAATGGGACAAAAGGCGACACATATATAAAGTGGCCGTTTATTCTTCGTGGCCATGCCATCACAGCACAGGATGTAGCTCTCTGGATCTTTGGTATCATTTCATCTGCCTAATGTTGCTCCATCAAACTTCTCCTCCCTCCTGCTATTTCTTGTTACAATATATATTCCTACACAGTATCCTCGAATACACAGCCAGTGTGCTCCTACAACTTTAACCTAACAAGTTGAGATTAAATGGCTTGTGTCATATGACTTCTAGCCCTGTGAAATATTTGTGGCATCATGCTGCTTTTGTGTAAGAAATACATTATGTTGTGAATAGGGACACAACTCACATGGCTGACAGCATGAAGGAAGCAAACAAACACTACTGTGCAATGATATGACCTATTCAAAGACAGGGTACAGTGGAGGGATCTTTATTTTTTACCAAGTTGCTCTGAAGTGACCAGAGATTAATCAGTCTTTTGGACAAAGTGTCATCCAAAATGGAATTGAATCAAAAACCATTTTAGATTAGCATTGTGTCTAGAAAAGCCTTTAAATTCACCATACATTTGTGTTCTTTGTTTATCTTAAAGTTGCATTAAATGATTTTTGGTCACTTGGGGGCAGCACACAATACTGGCATTCATAATAACTCCATATAAAGTAATGGTGACCATCTTAAACTGGAATTTTACGTCTTCCGGCTGCCTGTACAGTTGCTTCAGAAAGTATTTAGACTTCTTCATTTTTAGCACATTTCATTGTATTGTAGGTTCCATTCTATATGGATAAAATTGCCACTTTGCTCATCAGGCTCAGTAACCCATAATGACATGTTTTGTTTCATACATAGTCATGTGTTGCTGGAACCGGAATGACGCCACATTACTTTTTATTTTCTTCAAAGAGAAGAAATAGAATATTTAATCCGGTTGAATTTCATAAATGTTACATATTACGTGGATGGTTCACAGCGACACACATTTGGTGTCGAATACAGACCCTGTTTACAAAAGACAAGTGACAGAATGAAACTCACGTCACCCAGACTGACAAACTAGAGCATAATCTTCAAGGGGGCCTTGGAGACAAACATCAGATGCAACAATCAGCAGCAGAAACTGATTTAAGTGATGCTGGGATGTAAACAGACCTGTGTACCTGTGGGTGATCAACTGTAGGCCTACATGACACAAGCGAGGCACAGGACGGCCAGTATCAAGCCCCACACACAGCTGATGAGGTCAGTGAACAATGGATGCGTTTTCTAGTCAGTTAACACTTTTGAGCAGAGAACATTTGACTCCATGGAGATTAAGTAATAAGACTATGTATGACAATAACCTTCACCCTGTGACAAGTGGCTACTAACTCACACTGTTATTCTTCCACACCAGAGAATAAAGTCAGTTTAAAATTTGGTTATGTGGGCAATTACAGTTGACTAGTTTAAATGTATGTAAGCTTGCCACCTCAGAAAAAGTGTTTACATGGCCCTTGAAACAAGCCACAACTTAACTGTGTGTATGCACAAGTGTGAGTCATCGGTTTGCTCTGGTATTTCAAAAAATAGCACTGCACCTCTGGTCATCTAATCCTTTGTTGATATAAAAATATTGATGTGTGGCTTTAGACATTTACAGCATTACCAGTGATGGTCACATGGTTTCAGGGAGGATGGCTGTCATGAGCTACAGGTAAAGAATGTCACAAATTTTAAAGCTCATGAAAAATCTGCGGAGTGTGAGCACCAAAATTAACAATAGTTTAAAGTCAACAAAAGAAGTTTTATAAATATAAAAGTAAACAAACAGTCCCAACCATTTTTTTTAATCCGTCCTTCAGAAAATAATGATAATTAAGTTTAAATTAGCCCCAAAGAAACAACCAGCCTATTCAAGCGTTATCACGCCATTCAGTGGCAGATATCAGATGTTATTATATCACCACAATTAAGCTTCAGTAATGGCAAACTGCACCTACAGTACCAGTAGGCCAGAAGGTACATATCATTAATAGGTGTTATAATTAGGTGACCACTAGTGGCTACAGTAATTAGCAACAGTGACCATTAAAGAGCGACAAAGTTCACATAGGGAGGAGACTGGAGTGAAAAGAAGGGCAACAATGCACAGGACACTGAAATGAGGGACTGCTCGAATGCATTAGACAGAAGGATTTCATCTGAGAGCAGGTTCGTCAGTTACGTTCAAGTGCTGAAAGCTGAAAATTGTTGAAAACAAGGAGACTGAGCTCAGAGCTCAGTGTCTCCTGGAGGATCCACACTCACTGGGCTGCTCAGAACAAAGCCAAGACTGGAGACTATAACAAACACACCAATCACAGTAACCATTACAGTATTCTCTGTACAGAATATTCACCCTTATTTCCTCTTTTCATATCCATGCATTATTATTCATTCATTCCTTCACTGGAAGGAAGACCCAATGGGTCTCATGTGACTTGAGGGCTTGTGAGTGGTCATGTCTCAGTATAACTCAGATAAAAATCCTTTTCCCTGCCCAAACTCTCCTACAGCAAACTATCACATGACTATTCCTCCAGCATCTCTTGCATTTATTACCATCATCAGGATCATTCACACAAAGTTTAGGTGTAAAACCAAAAAGAGATCTGGACATTGACAAATAAAAAGGCTGTGAAAGGAAATGAACATCTCACTGCCATAATTTAACAAGAGGGACATCCCATAATCAAGATCTGGAACTACATGATTTAATTTCCTCTCAACAGTGAATGAGATGTCATTTGATAAATTACCCATCAATACCAGACAGTAGGGGATACTGTGCTGGGAAACGTGATGTGTGCATGTGCACACATGTGCCTCTGTGTGAAAACTAGACTGCGTGTGTGTGAGTCTGTCTTGTGTGCACAGACTCTGCAAAGACATTTTGCTACAGTGAGGGTCCTCGCAAGCATTTGTGTGTGTGCAGCGAGCACAGAATAACCTCACATTAGCAGCCCATTATTTCAATAAACCTCCTCTTGCATCCCGTTGACAGATCATCTGCCTAGAAGAGCAGATATTGTGGCCTTTAATCAGTCAGCCCCCTCTGAGCCGCCGTAGTCTCTTGTGCAGTATTTAAATTCCTCATTTACTCTGTTGCAGGCGGGACGCGCCTGTCCCCCATTGTTCGTTCTGAATAAACTGGGGAGCTGATCGTGTTAAGTGCGACCATGATTGATGGCTGCTGATGAAATCTAATATACTCGCCCCATGCCATCGTTTAGCAGAAACAGGATTAGAGAGAATGACTCCAACAAGAGCTGATAAAAGGTAGAAATGTACTTAATGTTGCTTTTTAAAGCTGAGGAGTTTGGGCTGTGGTCGAGTAACTTTGAACAACTGCTACATGATGGCTGTGTTTCTTGTGTGTGTGATGCAAATGTGTGAGGTCATTCAGCACAGTTTACTCATTTTACAACCTTGAAAGAGAGTGAATGTCACCAGCCAAGCCGTCCATGCTCATTCATTTCTCAGTTGAATCACAACAGTAATTTACAGTTACCCCTGTGTCTGTAGTAAGATCAGCTGTTAATGGCAAAAATTTGGAATTTGCATTTTCACAGGCATATTTAGATTCTGCATTCCGGCCTGTGGTTGCGGTTGGCACATGATTTCTGTGTTTCAATGTAACGGTGAACATTTAAGAAACAGAGAACATTTGGAGGAACATGGGGAAGTGAGATTTTAGTGACCTCTTGTGGGATGTGTGCTTCAGTTCATGATGATCGATAAAAGGTATAAAATAGTGTGTATTCTGTGTATGGTCTGGTTTAGATGCTTCACTGGAAAGATCAATGGTTCTCGCTAAAGGATGCATGGACAAACTGGGTAACTATACACATACTCAGGAACCCACGTGAACCAGTCATTGGTCGCAGTGACACCACGTCATCTTCCTCTCCTCTCCTTCGTCCTCTTTTCTGTTTAATCCACTTCACAGCTACATTAGCACTTGATTTGGATGTAGTGGGTCTCTCTCCTCCCCTCCTGCCCATTCCCATTGGCTGCGGCTGGCCCCCAGCCCAACCCACCTGCTCCAAGGCACTCTCCTTAATGTGACTGACCGAGGATGATGGATCACCCTCTGTCACTTCTATCTCCTCCTCCAATCAACAACCAGCCATGGAAATTGATTGTTCTAATTTGCTCTCATTATTATTATGATATTAAGCACAATATACAGACACAGCTCACTGTCAGAACTGGGCAACGGCATCATTAGTTACAGGGGCTGGAGAATATGCCTCGGCAGGGTTTTCTCCCACAGACGCCAAAATGTAAAGGAATCAGTGAGCGTTGGAGAAACACACTGCTTTTTCTTAATAAGATTTGCCACGCAGCCCCTCACTGAGGTGATGTAGCATCTAATTAAGTTCAAATCGGTGCATCTGGGAAAGAGAAAAAAGAAGATACGATTAAGTTCTTG